GTGGCTGGGCTGCAAGGAGGAGCAGTGGGGGGAGCGGCCATGGCGTCCACTGGGTCCTGTGGAAGGCAGCGCCTCATGGTGGGAGTGTGTGCTGGAGTGAGAAAGGGACGGAGAATTGGGGCAGGCGGTCCCAGGTCCCCTCAGATCCTCCATGCGAGGCCCTGCCCCTCCAAACCTTGGACAGGCCGGCCTGAGGGACCGAAGCCACAGCACAGCTTGAGAGGTGATCTAGGCCAAGCGCGCCCGGCTGAGCCCGTACTTTCCCCGCCGGGGCCTGCAGCTCGGGCCCTGCGCTTCTCCACACAGGGTAGCCTGGGTTTGTGCGATGCTCTTTCCCCGATGTTCACGCGTGGAGCGGACGGCTCTGCTGGGAGTGTGCAGGACGAGCCAGCCAAGCCTGCCGTGCTTCGGGTCCACGTGCTTCAGGCCGACGTTGGCCCGGTGGGAGGGGCTGCACCTTTGGCCCAGTGATGGGTCCCCTGAGGGCTGGAGGGTGCGCTCGGACCGTGGTCTGGAATCCGCCTCTGCATTCTGAACCCCTGCGCCTCCTGTCTGACCCCCGCCCCCGGCGCAGGTTCTTGTGTGGTAGGCTTTATAGACCCTGGCCCCCCTGGCCCTGCACATGTCAGGGTTGCGTGGTTGCTGTGAAGGCCGGTTTGTGGCTCTGTTGGTTCTGGTCGCCGTTGGATGCCCACTCCTGGTCTAGGTCCCGTACTTAGTTGGTGCTGTTTGTTGAGTGAGTAAGCTGCTCGTGCTGGGCTCCGCTGGGCGTGCTGGGCGTGTTCCCAGGACGCTCCTGCTGTGTGCCTGTGGCCCGTAGAAGCTGACTTCCAGGGCTTCCGGGAAGGGCTCCTGGACAGTTTCTGATGGCAGTTTCTGTCCTGCTGCCCTCAGGTCACAGTTACCTGGAGAGGCTCCTGAATGTCGAGGTGCCCCAGAAACTTGGGTGAGTTCTGTTTCAGGCTTGGGGCCCTCGCGCTACCAGGAGGGGCGGGGGCTGGGCTGGGCACCAGGAGGAAGCACCGCTGTCCTCTCCTGGGTGCCCTAGGCCTGTGCCATCCAGCCAGGCCGTACCAGGCTTGGATGAGGCTGAGTGGCCTTGGAGGGCCACCTGCCCTGTCTGTTGGGGTGGAGCGGCGGCCTGGGGCTGGGGTGCTCCTGGCTGGGACCCGAATGCCAACTCTTTTCCTGGAAGCCGCACCCTGCCGTCACTAAAGTAGTCCCTGCCCGCTCTTGCTCGGGGATGCAGACTGGGCCTTCGGGTGGGGGCTCACCTGGGGCTGGAGGCTCGAGGAGCTGGTTCAGGCCCTGCTGGGCGGCTCTCCGTTACTGAACCAGCTGCCCAGGACAGCTCAGGAGGGGAAAGGGTGGTTCTGGCTCACGGTACTAGAGGTTTCGGTTCATGGGCCGTTGGCCCCGAGGCAGTGAGGTACATCGCAGCAGCAGTAGAGAGCAGACCCGCCTCTCGTGGCTGGGCTGCAAGGAGGAGCAGTGGGGGAAGCGGCCAGACTCACTGTCCCTCCGAGGCCGCCCCGTGTCCCAGAAGCCCGGCCCCTCCCACTGGCAGCACGCAGAGGAAGCAGCCTTTACCATGTGCAGACAGGCAGGGCACAGCAGGGTCAGGGCTGCTACTGCTCCTGAGCCGAAGCTCTGCTGGGGGTGAGGGGAGGCAGGCGCAGAGGGCCGGGCGAAGGGTGGTGTCCGCTGTCCCCACCTGTGGGGAGGGGACTTGTCCCAGGGCCTCCCACAGTGCCCGCCGTGCTTTCAGCCCCAAGCAGGAGGAGCCCAGCGGGGAGGCGGAGGCCGAAGCAGCAGAGGCTAAGCCCGAGGTAAGGCGGCCGGTGGGGAGACAGCTGGGGCCTCTGTGCTGCTTCCCAGCCAGGGCGACCCCAGCCGAGCCCTGTGCCTTGCCTCCTCTCACAGGTCCCTGGGAGCAGTGGGGACCCCTTGCTGCCCCGCGGTGCCGCCGAGACCACCGTCCACACGCCTCATGCCCAGCCTGCCCCGGCTGGCTGGGACATGTCCCCCGAAGGGCAGCAAGGTGAGGCCCTTCTTTGCCCCACCCCACCCCGCCCCGGTACCTGGCCTTCCTTCCTCTGGGCAGAAGGCCAAAGAGAAGTGGAACCCGCTGGGCCCTGGTCTTAGCTGCAGCGGCTGTTGTGGCCGCTGCCGCGGGCACCCTGAGGTGTCCTGGTAGCCAGGCAGGGCCCGACTTGGGTGTGGGTGTACAGCTGCCCACCAGGCCTTGCGCCACTCCTGGGCACCGGGACAGGCTCATCAGCGTCACCACACCTTCCTGACGCCTTGCTGTGTCTCCTGTGGGCTTGCTCTGGCCTTGGCTGTGTCTGGGGTAGGCAAGAGAGCCATGGCTCTGGGCTCTGGCTCACGCCCAGGGGAGCACACGCTACGGTCTTTACAGCCAGGATCCTAGGTCGTCCTGGCCTGCTGCCACAGGGCTGCTATGGAGGAACAGAGCTCTGACCCTGTGCCCCAGTGGCGACCCAGCCGTAGCCGTGGGGTGGGGGCTGTGGCTGAGTGTGAACTTCTGCTTCCATACTCCCTGCTAGGGCGTGGGTATGGCTGGCCCCACTGGGACCCTCCCGCATCCCTGCCACAGACGCCAGGCACAGGGCAAGGGGTCTGGCCTGGGTACGTCGGCCCGGCTGTGGCTGGGTGTGGGTCCCTCCAGGACTCCAGGACGGGGTGCTGAGGCCACTCCTGCCGTGGCTGCTGCTGGCCAGGGTCTGCCAGGCCCTTCCGTACTGCTGGGCTTCTCACACCTCACTGCCGTCGCTGTCTCCGCAGGGGCCACGGCTGACGAAGCCGATGGACACCGAGAGCCACCGCAGAGCGTCAGGTGTGTGCTGGGCCCGGGCTGCGCGGGTGTGTGTGTGTGTGTGTGCAGGGCTGACCGCATCGCGAGCCCTGCTCCTCCCCATCCTGACTCTAAGGCCTGGTCACTTCCCTTCCTGAGCGGGCAGCAGGGGCCAGAGGGACGGTCCCGGTCTCGTGACCTTGCACGGGGTGTGCGGGCCTGGGAGGCCCTGGCTGCCCTGACGCCGCCCGCACTGGACAGGAGGAAGCGCAGCTACAAGCGGGCGATGAGCGAGCTGGACGAGGAGCCCTCCCTGGTGGACGAGGAGCTGCAGCCCCCCAGGAACAAGACGCCCTCCCCGCCCTGCCCGGCCAGCAAGGTGCGCGCCCTGCCCCCCCCGGCCCGCCCCTGCCTGCCGCCCCCGCTGACCGGTGCTCGTGCCCCGGCAGGTGGTGCGGCCGCTGCGGACCTTCCTGCACACGGTGCAGAGGAACCAGCTGCTCATGACGCCGACCTCAGCGCCCCGAGGCACTGTCATGAAGTCCTTCATAAAGCGCAACACCCCGCTGCGCGTGGACCCCAAGGTTAGGGGCGCCCCGCTCTGCGCCGCCTCGGGGTCCCCAGGGCTGTCGCGGGCAGCGTGGGTCTGGCTGAGGCAGGTGTGGCCTGTCCTGGTCCAGGAGCAGCTTGAGCCTCTGGCCGTGGGCTCCCTCGCCACGGACCTGGGCGGTGACCCCGAGGCCAGCTGGCCCTGTGGATCCAGAGTGGGAGCACAGGCCAGCGCCGCAGGGGCTGCGGGTGGGACCTCGCGGGGCCCTGCCCCGTGGGACGTCCCTGCTGGCATTGACCGTGGCTTCTGTCTCCTCCTCTCCACAGTACAGCTTTGTCGTGAGTAGAGCCGCCTCCTCCTCCTCCTTCTCTTCCTGCTTCTCCTCTCTGACCTGTCGCCCCGCCTGCCTAACCGCCAGCTCCTCGGAGCACTAACATGGCGGGAAGCATCGCGGGGGGGGGGGGGGGGCCCGGGGGGGGGGGGGGGGCACCCGTGGGGTGTGACCGGTGGCGGCTCAGCGGGGTGCCGCCGTTCACGGGCACAGGTCTGGGGTTTGTCGGGGCGAGCCGACTGCTGAGGGGGGCTGCAGTCTGTGCAGTGCTGCGCCGCCCTGGGCCTCCAGGGCGTGTGGAGCCACCGGGGCCGGCTCGAGCTTCGCCGCCCGTTAAGCCGGGCCACTTTCCGCTTTCAACTGCTGAGTGCTGAGGAGAACTTAGGAGGAGAAGCACCCTGCGCCCCCAGTGTCTGCCCCTTGCGTTGTCCTCCCTCGCAGTTAGGCGTCCTGCACCCTTCTTCCGTCCGAACCGCTGTTGCCAGCTCTTTTATTCTTTATTTTTATTTATTTATTTCTTATTTTCGGTCTTTTTTTGAGACAGGGTCTCACCGTGCAGTTCAGGCTGGTCCTGAACTCACTTTGTTTTTTGGTTTTTTGGTGTTTTTTGTCTTCTTGACACAGGTATGCGGCCCCACGCTCGGCGTTGCCTGCTCTTTTAGAAAGGGCGATGGCTTCCCTCGTTTCCTTCACGGGGGTGCCCGCTTCACTCGGGCTTCCGGGGGGGAGCTCTGGGGTAGTTTTTCTTCAGCTCAGTGCAGGCGGCTCCTGGTGAGCGACCCTCGTCCCTTCTGCGTGTCCCCCAGAGGGGAAGCGGCCTTTTATTCCCAGCACTGCTGGCCTTTTACCTTTGTCTCTGGTTTTCAGTGTGGGTTGCTTGGGACTCATGTCCATTTGTGGTTTGCTGACCTTGAATCCTGGGGCTGTGTCTGTCACTGACCTTGGCGTTATCGGCTGTCTGTCCTTCAGCTGTCTGAGCATCATCTTCCTGCCCTTCTGAGGTGCCGATGAAAAGAACGGGGCACTTTGGGTGTTGCTGCGCGGCTCCCAAGGCTCTGGGGACTCGCTCAGTGATCGCTCTTCTCTGCGTTCGAGTGTGGTCCTTTATCCTCATGACTCCGTGCTCACCGTCGCTCTCCGCTGTACTCTGGGGCCTGTCCACTGAATTTTAAAATGTTATTTTTCTAAAGTCCCTGTCTGGTTCTTTATGTCTGCTTCTTCGCTGAGGCGTCCGGTTTTCCTCGCTGTCCAGGGTGTGAGGACTCGCTGAGCGTAGCCGCTCGGGTCTCTCTCCGAGACCTCCATCTGTCCATCGTGCCTTCCCCTGCAAGCTGAGAGTTGTTTTAGTTCCTTGTGCACTGAGGGATCTGGGGCCGTGCCTTGGACATTCTCAACATGAGGCAGTGAGACTCTGGGTCTGGTTTCATCTGATGGAGTGCTGGTGTTTTCACCACTGCACTTGGCGGCGTGACCTGCTTAGATTCGGGCTGCAGGGTCCCGTCTGCCTTCTGCAGTCCACGTCAGTTCCCCTCCGGATCCTTGGCAGGGCACGCATCTCTGTCCCAGACGCACTGTCGGCCGTCACTCTGGGCCTGAGGTGCCTTTGTAGTGCTCCAAGTCCTGAGCAGAGCCCAGGAGCTCCTAGGGAGTCCCCAGTCCCCTTTTCCTGACCACCCCAGGGCGTTCTAGTTCTCTGGGGCTCCCCTTTCTGTGCTCCAGCAGGGATGCTGGGGCTTAGTGACCCACCTCACCCTGGCCTTGCTGTCTGTGCTCAAAGCCCTGACAGGAGGAGGAGAGGGTAGCCAGTAGCGCGGGGAGCAGAAGAGCCGCAGGCAGGTGGAGGAGCGCAGCTGTCCCCGAGGCTCCCACTGCTGCTCGGGCGCTGTGGTCTACCTGGAAGGACTGGCAGCACCACTGTACCACGCCCCGCTGGCACTTCCGTTTACTGACGTGGCCACGTCGTGGGAAGTGTGGGGAACAGGGGGAGGCTGCAGCCCTTGGTCTGCCTCCCCAGCCAGCAGTGTCCTGGTAGCGTTGGGTGCCTCCCCAGCCAGCAGTGTCCTGGTAGCGTTTGGTGCCTCCCCAGCCAGCAGTGTCCTGGTAGCGTTTGGTGCCTCCCCAGCCAGCAGTGTCCTGGTAGTGTTTGGGAATACTGTTTTCTTCACCTATTACAAAATAAGTGACGTGCACGGAAGAGCAGGTGACACACATGTAGCGTGAGTTGTGAAGCTGAGCACGCTCATGCGTGTAGCCGCTGCACCCCACAGCAGGGCAGCTGCCTCTGTACCCCGCCTCCCTGCCCGCTCTGCCCAGCGCTGTCCTGCCACTGCCCCGTGCGCAGTGGGTTTGGAGCCTGGCTTTTGTGCTGTCTGAGGCTTGGGAGGGAGGTGACCGCGCTGAGCCCAAGCACGTGCCGGGTGGCCTGGAGGTCAGGGTGGCCTGGAGGTCAGGGTCTGTCCCGCTCGTGTCCCAGGAGAAAGAGCGGCAGCGCCTGGAGAACTTGCGGCGGAAGGAGGAGGCCGAGCAGCTGCGCAAGCAGAAGGTGGAGGAGGAGAAGCGGCGGCGACGGGAGGAGGAGAAGATGTAAGTGCCTTGGGCCTGCCCTACCCCCGCCCCCTGGCCCCCGCCCACCCCCGACCCCCATCCCCTGGCCCTGGCCCCAGCTGACAGCTGCACCCTGCAGGAAGCGCGAGGAGCGCCACCGCAAGGTGCTGCAGGCGCGCGAGCGGGTGGAGCAGATGAAGGAGGAGAAAAAGAAGCAGATGGAACAGAAGATCGCACAGCTTGAGGAGAAGACAGAGAAGGTGCGGGGGCCGAGGAACCGCAGGGGCTGAGCTGGGAGGGGTCCATCCCAACCCCGACTTGGGTCTGAGGGTGTGGGCCAGGACGGCCTGGGTGCAGGCTGCTCAGCATGTGGGCGGCTCTGCAGGCCAAGGAGGAGCGGCAGGCAGAGGAGAAGGCCAGGAAGAAGGCGATGGCCAAGAAGATGGAGGAGGCAGAGGCGCGCAGGAGGCAGGAGGAGGAGGCACGCAGGCTGCGGCGGCTGCAGCAGGTGCGGAGGCGGGGCCGGGCACTGCCCGTTGGGGCCTCTTGCTGCTTCGGGCCGTGTGTGGGGTTCAGCGCGTGCTTGGGCTAGGCTAGGTACTGTGCCCGCTCCGCCCGCGCTGGGTAGGCAGCAGTGAGGGGTGAGGCCGCTTCCTGTCTGCTCCACATTGGGAGCCAGACTTCCTGTCTCCGCCATGCCGTTTATTGGCTGTGTGATCTTGGGCCAGTTATTTGACCTCTATTTCTGTGGCTTCAGGTAGCAAGCGCCATGCACCCTTTGTGTGCTCTGCCTGGAGGAGGTGGGGCTGCCTCTCCCTAGGGCATCTGTGGTCCCCTGTGGGGAGCAAGTTCTGTGCTGTGGTTCCACGGGGAGTTCTGTTGCTCCTTGCTGAGGCTTATGGTTTACTCTGAATGTGTGGTGTGAGCGAACCCAGGAACTCCGGAGACGGCTTCAGGTTAGAGATGAGGAAGTCGAGCCTCAGAGTGGGGTGCAACTGTGCGGGGTCACAGGGCTTTTGGCCCCAGTCTTCTGCAGGTGTCACAGGCGTCTTCTCAGCGGGCTGTGGAGCTGCTCAGGGTCTGTCTGCCGTGGTGGCCCCCGCGGTCCCCCTCCCTGTGTGCCAGGTCTGGCTAGAGCACCTGACCCTGCCGTCCCATCCCAGGAGGAGGAGGAGCGGCGCCACCAGGAGCTGCTGCAGAAGAGGAAGGAGGAGGAGCAGGAGCGGCTGCGCAAGGTGGCCGAGGCTCGGCGCCTGGCGGAGCAGCGCGAGCAGGAGCGGCGGCGGGAGCAGGAGCGGCTCCAGGCTGAGAGGTGAGGCCTCTGTGGTCAGGCGGCTCCCGGCTACCCTCGGAGGTGGCGGCAGCTGGGACCCTTGGACAGGGCGTGTGCATTGGTGACAGGAGCTGGGGGGGCTGCCCCTCCCCGCAGGTGTGCCTGCCCCTCGGGGACCTGTGAGGGTGGGGGCCTGTGATGCAGGCCAGGGCAGCCTTGAGGCTCCCAAGACCCCGAGTGTCAAGATGGTGGGAGGCGGCGTGGCGGCCTCCTGTGGTCCTGGTGACAGCGCTGGAGGAAGCTTACCAGTGGTGCCCCCTGCAGGACCGAGAGGTTCTGAGACCTAGGTGGGCGAGACTGGAAAACTGGGCGCCAGCACCCCTGTGCCCTTGGGGCAGATGTGCACTGTGGGCTCAAGCTGATGTCCCATGGTGCCCAGGCCTGGCTTGCCTGGCAGGGGTGGGGACAGGGCCAGGGCACCACCTGCTGGCCTGACGGGCTCTTGCCGGTTTCTCAGAGAACTGCAGGAGCGGGAGAAGGCCCTGCGGCTGCAGCGGGAACTGGAGGAGAAGAAGAAGGTAGGGCCAGGCTGATGGGCCGCGGGTGGTGGAGGTGGGGTGCGGGGCTGGGGAGGTCCACACGCGGCCCGTTGCCTCCCGGCCTAGGAGGAGGAGCAGCGCCTGGCTGAGCAGCGGCTGCAGGAGCAGCAGGAGAAGAAAGCCAGGGAGGAGGCGGTGGCGGCGGGGGCCAACAAGGCCCTGAATGTGACCGTGGACGTGCAGGTGAGGGTGCTGGGCCGAGGGGCTGAGGCCGGGCACGTCCTTCCCCGCGTTTGTTCTTTCCTATTCTAGAAGTAGAATTTGTTAAGAAATCGCTGAACTTTCAATACTCCCGGGCTCGGTGTGCACGCTGGGTTTTGTCTGTGATGGTCGTGTATGCAGGCTCACATGGCCCTCGCCTGGGTGCTGGTGTGGTTCTGGACGAGTGTGGGCCCTGCGCTGGTTGGCGTTTGGTGCTTTTGCTTCCATGTGCTCTCGACATCCTGGCTGCTCTCGTGTCCGTGCCCCAGGCAACTGTTCTGTGGTTTAACCGGTGCCTGGAGGTGCCGTCGGGTCTCTCCCTGCCGCACTGGCAAGGCGCTCAGTGAGGCGGCCCAGGCGCAGCTCTGAAAGCCGGGGTGCATCCGGCTCCTGGTTCCCTGGTGTGGAATTGGCACGCTGGCCAGAGACGGCAGAGCGGCGTCCAGTCTGACACTAACATCAGAAGCGATCTTGACACCGGGAGGGCCAGTGACTGCTGAGCGCCTCCAGAGGTGCCCTGCGGGGTACAGTGGCAGAGCTGACACCCTGTCGTCTTCCCAGTCCCCAGCCTGTACCTCCTATCAGATGACTCCACAGGGGCACAAGCACCCCCCCAAGATCAACCTGGACAACTACTGTAACTATGGGATGGATCTGAACAGCGACGACTCCACGGACGACGAGGCCCATCCCCGCAAGCCCATCCCGGCCTGGGCCAGAGGTGAGGGGCCCCGCCCACATCACCTTCCTGGCTCTGGAAGTGGTGGGGTGGCCACCACAGCTGGTGGACTGCTCTTCCCAGGGCTGGAGGCTCAGGGCGGCCACCGTGATCACAGGGGACCAGGCCTAGGAAGGAGGTGGGCCTGGCCACAGCTGGAGCTGGATGTTCTGGGCTGGAGGCCTCGACCCACACTAGCAGCTGGGCAGCGGGTAGAGCTGGGTGCAGGCAGAGGGCTTGAGGCTAGGAGGCTCACGGGCGCCTGGCTGAGCACCACCAGCTGCAGGTGCTTTGCTGGGGCCAGGCCAGATGCCACGGGGGACTGCTCGCGTCTGAGCTTCCCCTCTGGACCCACAGTCCTGGGGATCTTGGTCTCCGTGCGAAGTCGCGGGAGGTCACAGCCAGCGGGGCTGTGTCACTGGACGAGGCCCCAGGTTCAGCTGGAGTCCAGTTGCATGAGCTCGGGGGACTTGGGGAGCAGGAGGCCGTGGCCTGCAGGGAGGCTGGGGAGACTCAGGGCAGTAACCCCACCGCATCCCCTCAGGCACGCAGCTCAGCCAGACCATCGTCCACCAGTACTACCATCCCCCGAACCTCACCGAGCTCTTCGGGACCATCCTCCCGCTGGACTTGGAGGACATCTTCAAGAAGAGCAAGCCCCGATACCACAAGCGCACCAGCTCTGCCGTCTGGAACTCACCGCCCCTGCAGGGCACCCGGGTCCCCAGCAGCCTGGCCTACAGCCTGAAGAAGTACTGAGCCGCGCGGCGGCCCGTGTCCTGCTGTGCAGTGCTATTGCCGCCCTTCCACCTGGTTGCCATGGGCTGGGTGTCCTCTGCAGGTGCAGGGTGGCCCACGCCTGCGTGGAGGGCGGGTTTGTGCGTGACTGGGAAGAGCCAGACCTGCTCGGTTGGCCCACAGGCAGCACGCTGTAAATAGATGGTGCAGCTCAGCCGGATTTTAGTGTCTAGTGTTTTAGAGGTAGATCAATAAAGTGGATTCCTTCTGTGAACGCTGTGGGTATCATGACCAGGGGTGGCCGCATGGTGGCCCCCATCTTGGCCCCACAGCTCTGTTTCCGGCTGTCGGATGGGCTGGAGGGCTGAGGCAGGCTCTGTCCCCCACGGTGTCCCTGCTTACCTGCTGCCAGTGCGGTGGGCAGGGACCCGGGAAGCAGTTCATTGCTCTCACCGTGGGGCGGGAGAGCTGCTCCTGGCTCGGGTGGGTGCCCCTGTGGGAAGGGAGCATGCGTGTTGGGCCGGACCTGGCTCTGGTGCTTAGCCCCTTGGGCTCTGCCTGCCGTGCAGGGGCAGGACCTGAGGTCTTCAGGGAAGGCGTCCCGAGACTGGCGTCCCCCGTGTAGAAGGCCTGGTCCCCGGTGACATGCTAGTGCCGGCGCAGGCTGGCCGGACCCACTGGCGGCTGCCCCTCCCTCGCCTACCACAGCCCCAGCGAGATCCCCAGCGGTTCTGCTCTCAGGAAGGAGTTAAACTATGCCGCTCAGGCTCTGTGGCTTGCAAGTTCAAAAGTAGTCACTCCAGACCCCTGCCGGAAGTTTGCTGGCCCCAGGTCAGGACAAAAGAAAGGCTAAAAACAAGAGAGCTTTCAAAATAAAGAGCTCTTTGGAAAGGAAGCCAGCCGTGAGCGCACGTGGTAGCCACGCTTCGTTCACGCGCGGCGCACAGTGACGTCCTGTGCCCTGTTAACGAGCTCACATCCGTCCACTGGAGCACGCTCCTTTGTCTAAAACCACAACACGGGAATGGCATTTCTTGGAAGCACGTCACTGTGGCGACCCTAGGGCCAGCTATCGCTCAGCAGAGGGTGACTGGCTGCGTCTTCACCGGCGCCGGCAGCTGCTCCTCCTGTAAACCTGGCCGGTGCTTCTCGTCGTGCTTAGACTGCTGCGGCCTTGGTGGCAGGGAACATCTCCGCTTCTTCAGCTGCCAGCCGTGTCTCTGGTGCAGAGTCTGCTCGAGTCTTGTTCACGTTTAAACTGGGCTACGTTGTTCCTGTTAAGAATCTGCGTGAGCCAGGTGTGGGTGGCGCACGTCTGTAACACCAGCACTTGGGAAGCTGAGGCAGGAGGGTCATTTCAAGTCTGAGGCCAGCCTGGGCTATAGTTCAAGGCCAGTCTAAACTGCATAGTGAAACCTTGTCTGAAAAGGATTTAAAAAAACAGTCTGTTAGCCGACGTGTGTACTGTGGCATTTTCTCAGTCTATGGCATGTCGTCTCATTACAGTTCCCGTCACAGCAGAAACTCTAATTTGGCAAGTCCAGTTTGTCACACATACTGTTTCTTTTTTTGTTTTTTATCTTTTTGAGACCGGGTTTTGCTATGCAGTTCAGGCTGGCCTTGAGCTCACTTTGCAGCCCAGGCTGGTCTCAAACTCACAGTGATCCTCCTGCCTCAGCCTCCTGAGTGCTGGGATTACAGGTGAGCCACACTGCCTGGCCCACACTTACTGTTTATGCCTTTTTGGAGTTGTGTCTGAGAGCTCCGCCTGGCCTCAGGTCCCAAAGATGTATTTCTAGGTTTTCTTTTTAAGTATTTTATTATTTTACATAATCACATTGAGTGAACCCTTCCTTAAAAGTGTGAGAGTTTTCCGTTTGTATGTGGGAGTTTATGGGTGGATATCGAGTCGTTCCAGCACCGTGTGTTGGAAAGATTGTTCCTCCTCTGCTGACTTTCTCTTGCATCTTCATGGAGGATCAATGAGCCGTATGGATCTGGAGCTATTTACGGACTTGATGTTCTCCGTCAGTGTGTGTGTCTTCTTTTCTAGTACTGGGTGGTCAAGATTAACAGTACTTTGTGTTACGCCTTAAAACTTGATCATGTCATTCCTCCAGTTTTAGTTTCCCTTTAAAAAATTATTTTGGTGATTCTTTAATTATACCTTGACGTATACATTTTAGAATCAGTTTACAGAAAAATCCTGCTTGGACTTGGCTTAGAATAGCATGAGCTCTTGGTAAGTCTCGGGGGAATCCGTGTTCATTCTCACGGTTGTGAGTCTTAACCCATGAACACATCGTTTCTCCACTGCTTTGCGGCTTTGGTGTTGCACTGTGTAGGTCCGCCATTATATATCCTGTACACACTTTGTCTAATATTTATTTTCTTGCTAGTAGTAAATGGTATTTTCCTGATTTTGGTTTATACTTGTTCTTTGCTGGTCTATAGAAATACAGTTCATTTTAGTGTTCTTGTATCTTGTCATAAAACTAAATTGGGATTTGGAAATTTATATCACTAAATGCTTTTATTTTTATATCACTAAATGCTTTTTTTTTTAGCACTAAATACTTATGTGAGGGGTAAAAACGTCTCATTCAAGACCTCTCTCCTTTTTAAGAAATGAAAAATAAAATTGTAAGAGAAATAGCAAAGCTGGAACGGAAATGCACGGCACTGGAAACAGAAACAATACTGGTAACAAACCCAGGTCTTTAGCACCTCCAGAAAACCCATAAACCTCTGTTAGCCTGGCGAGGAGGAAGTCAAGACAGATTCCACTGCCAGAAGATGCCTCACCACAGCTTTGCTGCCCCTGGGACAGGTGCGCGGTTGCCTGAAGATTTTAGGACACGCAGAGCATTTGACAGATGAACGTGAATTCCCTGGGAAGTGGAAATTAGCTCACTCAAGAAGAAACAGCCAAAATACACTACTGTGAGGGAAACGGACTCGCAATCTTGCAAAACAAAAAAAGATACAGATAACTAGTGGGAAATGTTACTGTATTTTAAAGAAGATACAATACCAGTTCTGTACAACTTCTCCCAGGAAACTGAAGAGGAGAGAATATGACTCAGTTCTATTTATGAAGCTAGCAGCGTCGCGGTCCCCAAACAAAGGATATTGGGAGGAAACCAGAGTATTTTCCCTCATGGACATAAAAACGCTTAGCAGTTTTAGCAAGTCTGGTCCTATGGGATTTGAAACTGTGTTTCACTATGCAGTCCAGGCTGGCCTTGAATTTATGGTGATCCTGACTCAGCCTTCCAAGTGCTGGGATTAACAAGTGTGCCCCCTCACACCTGGCTAGGAAACTCTACTTTTTTAAAATTAAGTTGATTGGCACATTTTAGGTACATAAGGTGATCACATTCGTCATAGGGAATTTGTACCTGTACAGGATGTACCTTGATTCCTTTTTCCCCATCCCCCTACCCTCCCTCAACCTCTTATTTACAAAGCTTTGAAACTATACTCTTAAGTGTTCATCTCACTTCCTAAATGATGTGACTGAGTCTCACCAAGTCCAGCAGACTTTTTTTTTTGGTGGGTGGGGTTAGCAGAAGTTCGTTTAAAATTTATATGTAACTGTAAAGGACTCAGAATAGCCAAAATACCTTTGAGACATAATAAATTTGGAGAATTCCTGCTGCACGTCTAGACTCTGTCCAAAACTGCAGTAATCAGGATGGTATGGTATTGGCATAAAGGCACACATTGATCTATGCAATTCTAGGCAGCCTATAAGTCGAACTGTAAGGCTGGCCAGTGAGACCCTGTCTCAAAAAGAAAAAAAAACTAAATACTGGATCTCAGGGCCAGGGATACAGCTCAGCAGCACAGTGCCTGCTAAGTTCCGAGTTTGATTCCCAGTTCTCCCCCCCAAAAAAATAAGTACCGGATGTCTTGGTCTTTGACAGTGGTAGAAAGGCTTTTGTGTGGGAAGTACTCTTAACATGCTCTGTGGAACAACTGCAATACTAAGTCCCAGCCCTTCCTCACACCATATGTCAGATTTAATGTGTAATGGATCACAGGCTTAAACATGAAAACTAAAAAAGAAAAAACCCTAGAAGAACACAGGAAGAAAATCTTAAGTCTGTTTGGCAACCTTTCCCTACAAGCAAGACAAAAACCTGCATAAAAGGACATCAGTCCTCGAGTTTTGCCAGACTTGAGGCCTCCGCTTGCTCTTGGGTCCCTGGCAGACGTGTCTTTTGTTCCCCGCTGGGCCGAACGATACAACGCCCCGTCCGGCCCTATCTGGGAGTCGGCAGGGCCTTACCTTCCCTCGTGGTCAGACTGAAGATGAAGGATCCCGGTCTTGGGCCCATCGTGGACGCCAGCCCTTGCCCCGGCACACTTCCCCCTCGGCCCCCGCTGGCTCCTGCCCACGAGCACTGCCCCTCCCGTGGTGGATGAGGGCTCGCTGGGCCCGGCTGCCCCGCAGCTGCCCGCCGAGCACCCGTGGGTGGCGGCGGGGTTGAGAGCTGCTCCCCTCGGCCTCAGCCACCAGGCCCCTCCCCGGCCTCCAGGAGGTGCAGCCGTCTAGACGCTTGGCAGGAGAGGGCGGCAGGCCCCGCGGGTTCTGAGCGCCACTACCTACCTGGCCCGGGCTGCCGCCCTCCGAGCCCTTGGAGCTCAGCCGCGGCTCTGCAGTCACGCGGAGAAGCCGGCGCCCATGAAGCCAAGCCGGGAGCCCGAGATCCCTCAGCCCCCAGAGCGCGTCCCCAGCGGCTCCGCGGCAAGCACCCCACATGGCCAGCCCAGCCCCAGGTCCCCGCCGTCCGGGAATTCCGAGCCTTCGCAAAGCAGTCTGCCCTGCGTGTCGGGAAGAGAAAGGGTACTTGCTGGTTACTATTACTCATTCGGGGGGACAGGGAGATTTAGAGTGCTTTCTCGTTGGCGCACCTTCTCTGAACACCTGGCTTCACTGCGTCCGAGCGTGGCACAGAGACCGACGCTTTGATTCGGGTTCAGCTGCCCGCTGCTCAGCTGTCACCCTCCTGGCCCAAGACGCGGCGCCTGCAAACGTACATGGGTGGGAAGGCTGCTAACAGCATCAGCTTCTGTCTGGTCAGGCCTTCTGGAGCTGCATGCGGAGCAGACTCAGCCCTGCGGGCCGTGAGCCGTTGCTGGACCTCTGCCTGGACCCGGACGGGTGCCGCGGGCGGACGAGGCTGACTCTGCTGTCTGCGCTGTCGTCTGGGAATGGCGGACGCCCAGGGTTCCTGCCGTGCTCGCCTGGGTGCTGCTGGCCCTCGG